TCAGCTATCTGAATCACTATTAGGTGATCAGATGATCGGTGGGCGGAGATCGCCGGACCCGCCAGCATGATAGGTCGCCGAGGTCAAATTTTTCCATGCGAATTGCGCGTCAGTTCGCACCCTCAGGAGGTCCGTGGGTCCCTCAACTAGGTCAGTTTCCCTTTCTTCGACCTTCATTCTAATCGTGAATTCCTCCTTTAAAGGACGAATTCACGATGAAAAAGCAACCCATTTCAAATTAACCTAGGGATGGTGAGTGGTACACGAAAGAAGGAAGAACCATGAGAAACGGCCCAGAACCCGAGAAATGGGACCCCTTCCTTGCCCGTTGATTTGAGCATTGATGCGACTCTCATCGCTGTGCCCTCTTCAACACTACGCTCTCTCAGCTATCTAATCACTCGTGATCAGATGATCGGTGGGCGGAGATCGCCGGACCCGCCAGCTTTGAGGCATGATAGGTCGCCGAGGTCAAATTTTTCCATGCGAATTGCGCGTCAGTTCGCACCCTCAGGAGGTCCGTGGGTCCCTCAACTAGGTCAGTTTCCCTTTCTTCGACCTTCATTCTAATCGTGAATTCCTCCTTTAAGCGTACAAGATACTTTTTGTGCGTACACATCTCCTACACAAGATTCTGACTTCTCAAGTGGAAGTGAGTGCAGTGGAAGGTGTCAAGCGTTCAACAGGGAGAGAGAAGCCTCGGTGTTGCCGTGGGACAAAAATGTTAGATAATACTACTTGTAAGGACTTATTCATAACAAGGAGCGTCAACAGGTTGTTTATGCACTTATCCTGTACTATATGAATATTGTACATTCAGGTCGTCCCTCTATCTCCGACGAAACGCCCACAATTTCTGGAAATCAATTGGATGAAACGCCTCAATCCGTGTCTTTCGATGGGTCAGGAAAAATTGATGCGAACAATGATATGTTGATTTCGTCGGCACTTGATGCCAATGTATTTCGGTATCCACAATTGCACTGGGTGAGAGAAATGTTATTTTCATTGTAGATAAATATTATTCTCACCAGCATTACTGCAATGAAGTAAGACATCTTTTTTAGCCTCAGATATCTAACAGATATCCGTATGGAATCCCTTACTACAACAGTGCTCCATTCTTCAATCGCTACGGATACAATACAATGGCAATGAATGCTCTTGGCTATGGAGTCGACCCATTCCCTTATAGCTCTCAGCTGCTTCCCCAGCAGCGATTAAATCCATATCTATGGAGGAATGTGCTTACCGCGACGCCTACAGGTACATAATCGCTAACCTGCCGAGACCCCAAAAAATCATACACCCAAATGTCTGTGTTTGATAGTTGGCTCATAAGGGGCTCTCCGTTGTGAGACATCATTTTCGCAAGTTATTGGAAAAATCTGAGCCTATCGCTTTCCTTTCTTCTACCAGGTTGTGCCAGAAATTTGGAGCCTACTGTTCTCAATCAAAAGTGGGGCAGGTTGGTGGTTTTGAGCGGAAAAAAACAGTGATGTCAGTTTCGAGAGATGATGGGGTTTTACCATGAGATTTTGCCGTCTATCACAGCAGATCTGGCTACAGATGTCTACTATGTCGTTTCGATCCTGCAGCGAGAGAGAAGTTTTCCTTGCTTCTCTCGCACATAAAAGGATAAAGCATTTGCCGTTGATCAATCCCTTTTTGGGATGCGGCACGCATTCTACTTCCATTTGTACATTCGTGGCGTTTGAATGCGATGTGGCCTATACAATGACTTGCGGGGGCCAGCCGATGTACAAGTCAGTGTTTTTATCCTCCCAGACAAGTCTGGTACCAATTA